TAGTCCCTGAAGACTTCCAGCAGATCCAGCAGCCTGGTCTGCTCCTGGATGGTGTCTGCAAGAGTGGAGGCTTGGAGAACCATGTTCCTGGCAATGGAGATGGCTTCCTTGGCTGAGTGAGCTGTAGGGAGAATGGTGGTAGGGATTGCAGTCTGATGCTGGAACCTGAAATCCCTACCAAGAGGTGTGTAACAGGGTTATGGTGCTGTAGTGAAGTAGGCTGTCACGTGTCAGGACAATGGCGCTAACCCATCGGGACGCTAGCGTGGTATGGACGAGAGCGCATAGATAATTGGGCACACAATGGCCAGGAAATGGTAGCAATTAATCTTATGAGACCACCCCCCATTGTTACTAAGCTCGCTGTCACAGATACCCTTACATATTGTAACGATGCAGGTAGGTAGGAAAGGGCTCCAAAGTAAGTGTGAATCTGCCACAAGGCATATGGGAGTGCTGGGACATTGAGAACACTAGGATGTTATTCCTACACCTATAGGTCTTGTACAAAAGGATACAGAAAAACTACTCTATCTAAAACTACAGTGTTAGAGCGCTTATGTATACAGTTTGGAGGACAATTAGAAGTACACTTGTCCAGGTGACTGTTGAAGTCATACTTTAAACAAAGCTTGTAAGTACTATTTGATTGGTTCTCAAGGATGAGCTCTGGTTCTGGAACAGTAGGGGTAAGTTGCCTAGGTGAAACACCTAACAACGGCTTGGGGTAACAATGAGTAGTACAGGCAATCTGTCTAGCTCAAAGGTTGGTTGAGATCCAATGACAAACTTAATTGACAAGGTTGAACACAAACCATAAGGGTTGTGTTCCTACATGCTATATACTAAACATGTCTACCTGGTGATCTGTCTGCTCTGTGCAATCTGACAGCGCAGTGAGAGCAGTGGGAGCATTCATGCAGGGTGCTCTGCATGCTCTGTTGTTGTACATTGGATTGTGAGATCAGTGAGAGCATATATGCAGTCTGACAGCTGGCCTTGTTCTGTCTCAGCTTAACCAAGACTTGCTGCTGCTCTGTTGTCGCCTACATTAGCGTGAGAGCAATCCTTGTCAGTGCTACCTAGTGTACCACTGATTGTAACAGTGACAAGGAGGTAGATTGGGACAGAAAGGAGCGGTGTGATGAGACCAGCAGGAACCACACCACAATCACAGCAATTTCGGTTGTAGGTGTTACACACATTATGCAGAGAAGCTTCTCCCAAAAAATTGCAATGCCTACACCTCTATGGTAGCCCAATCGGATGAACTCAGGCCTGATGTGCCTATAGATCGACGATACGAATGGTTTCTGCAAGAGGATAATGACGCAAGCCATGGCACTTGCAATCCCAACTTGTTACCAACAGTCTCTAGGCACGATCGTGGTGTAGCGAGCCTCTCCCAACTTGCCAATTCACCCAATGTCAGCCCTATTGAGAGCATGTGGAATATCATCAAAAAGAGATTCAGGCAGCAACTGCACCAGATCAAATCAATTGTAAAGCTCAAGGCAGCTCTCCAATATTAGTGGAGCCAGATTTGGCAGGAAATGGTGCAGGAGAGGATTGATGACATGCCCTATTGTTGTAGGCAGGTGTATAGACACCTAAAAGTTCAGTGCAAAACCAGCCTGTGGTGACTTATCAACACCACAAAAATTGATTGCAATATTATAATACAACATTTCAAAAGTCTTACCCCACTTGAATTAAGTCAATACAGCATGGAATGGTTGCTCACAATGCAATTTTGCATGGTGAGTGCTAAGAAACAAGCATTTGATGGGGTGGTTATGTCAGCAGAAACCGTCCAAAGTTTTTTTGCGGAGGTGGTGGGACACGGATTACTACCCCCCCTGGTGCAATGACAAATTTGATCGCAAGAAATACATGTTATAGTCTCAGGGTGTACGTCTTAAGAGGTCGCATAATTATATCGTCCCCCAACTGATCGGACAAGTCTTTACGCACACTGCAGCTCTTTGTATGAGAGAAACTCCTATAGTCGAATCAGAGCAAGCGGTCGTTGGAGTGAAAGAGTACTACGCGCCAGGTTCTCCAGTTTATAAGAGAGCGCACGCTGCCGAAGGTCGGTTTGGTCATCGCCATCTCAGCCTCCGCTTTACCTATACCTCCTTCATCTTTTTACACGTTCACCAACTGCTTCCGCCATTCACGACTCCATATCGTTCGCTAGCTGCCTTCCGTCACATCCCTACTGCTTTCCACTTCAAACCAATATGACCTATTTCGCCGACTCCGTCCTCAAGTCCTGGTCGCATCACGAGTGGAAGCACGAAGATATAACACCCCGAGATGAGACCGAGAAGCGACTCTTAAAAGGGCCGCCACAAGCAACTACCTTCGCCGCGCAGAGCAACAGACGAGACTACGCACATTACATGGCTCGACGGAGATCGATCGGCAGCAGGATGGCTTCTAAGTTCACCACCGTCTTTACGCGTGCTCACTGAGCATACATTCGATCGCACATACTAACGCATCATTGATTGGCATTATAGCCTCTCCGAGACGCTCGAGTACGGCTATAGATGACGAGACTGTACTGTTAAAGATCCCCCCCCCCCCCCCAAGCGTCTTTGGCTGCTTAGTTGAGGTATTACCTTGGGCAGCTCTGGAGAGGTGTAGGAAGAAGCATATGAAGGGATAAACAGATGCCCGGACTGAGATGAATTGGGACTCCATATTATGCTTGCGGTCAGTCAACATCAGTCGAGATATCAACTCTCCCAAGGGGAACTGACAGAACTTGGGGTGACAAAGACTTGGAATTGGACGCCTGGCGGGCTTATCTGCGTTGAATTGTTCTGCGTGTACAATCTTACCCAGTCGACTGAGCAGTTCGAATGTTTTCATATAGCTAAGGTCGGCGAATTTCATTACATCGTTGCCATTTTCATAAACGATATTTAGAGGGCGCCCTTACGCTATCCATTGAATGTAACGGTGGACTCCTGTGCTGGACTGCCCAGTTCGAACACATGCCGCGAGATCCGCGGAAGAGACGACGTAGCAAGACTAGGGCAAAGACGGCTATTTGTACGAGCGACACATGGGGCTTCTCGTATCTTTTACATTGTATAAGGCGTGCAGTTGAGCTTAACCTGCCTTGGCTCCAAAGCTTATCCGCAACTGCCGGAAATAGCTTCAGAATTTGGTGCCACTCTGGCAATATTCACCCCTTTCATCCAGAAGTAAGATGTTGGTGAGCGATATTGCAGATGCTGCGAGTCGAGCGTGGTAGGCGTACCAATCTGACAAATCTTAGCTTCGTAACAAGAACGGCGAGTCGATGCGCTAGAAGAAACCATTGGACTTGTGGACGCTTCCGCATGGCAATTTCGTCTACTCAGAGTCGTATTGGCGAAGAAATTATCTGTGAAGCACCCCGTTGCTGCTATTCTGTTTTGGGCAACCAGTGCGCCAAGTCAGCCCTGGAGTGAAGATAGCCAATTATTCCCGCGGGCTTCCGTTAGTTTGTTGCGCAGGCGGCTGCATTTAGTGGTGCGTAAAATTGATTGTTCCTGCAACAGGCGCGTTGCATCGCTCTGTTCATCCACTGCGGGCGCATGAAAGCTGCAGGCGTGCTCCTGCATGCACTTGCCACGAGTGTCAGACATCCTCATAAAGGTCCGCGAGTATTGCACCTACTCTGTTCGCACCTACTCTGTCGCCCCACACACTCTTACATCGCGACACTGAGTTGCAGTCGACTTTGAGTTGCTTCCATGCCTCGGTATCTCTTCCGTGCGCACTAAGGCCAGGCGGGGGCCTGAGCGGAACGAACTGGCCACTAACAAAAGAGATGCTTGCCTGCCTTTGTCCTTACACTTGCACTGGCACACCCGGATCGAGCTTAGCAGCAATGACAACAAGCACTAGCATCTGCCACAAGGGTCAGTGGGATCCACCTGTAGAACTTATTGAAGATTCAAGCAGTGGAGCTGGCGATGTCGTACGACCTCTGGAGTACACAGCACATCAGTAAGTCTGGACAGTCGTCCCAAATTCGCGCAATCATCTGGACCGCATTCGGAAAAATACACACGTTCAGCCGCCGACAAGATCAATTCTGTAACATCTTGCTGTCAGGTGCATTTCCACTGTTGAGCTCGTAGTGGACTGCTGCAGCTTGGCAACTGCCTGGAGTGGATGCCGCGCCTTAAACCAAGATCCTGTCTACCAATTGCGCGCCTTATGGCCACGATGTGGATCTGGGCGTCACGACAAGCGAAGTTGGGGTCTTGTCAACTAGGGGTCTATAACCTCAGCCTTACTTTTCTTAGGTCACCGGTGGGATGCCTTACACTGTTTAACCGTGATTTTTCGCCTCGGCCGTGCTGCAGAATAGGATTCCGTATTGCCTTGCAAGGATTGGATCCTCCTCACTCTTGACCTTTATATTTCTCCCGTCTGTCGCGTACAATGTCTCTCTTTTGCTCTTGTTTTTTGTCGTCAGGTCCTAATACATTCCCTTTCTGGCGGAACAACACTCTTTTCAACCTCACAGTTCAGTCGATTGTGTAGCAGTCGCTCGCTCACAATATCCACTCGCTTCCTTATAAAGATCGACCTTCAAGCCTGTACGCGGCAAAGGAACGCCCAAATATTCACAACATGCTCTTCTCCAAGACTGTCGTCGTTGCTGCGGCTCTTGCACCTCTCGCAAGTGCCCATGGTAGCACCGGCTTACCCAAGATAATGGGACTTGATATCTTCGATCGAAGGGCAGGGAGCTTGATCGCCAACCTCAAGTCTGGCGGCCTGTTGGGCGCTGAAGCCAACGAGAAGTCGGTTCTGGAAGCACGCAAGGACGATCGCGAATGTGGTGAGGGCATCGGATCCTGTCCTCAAGACAAGTGCTGCTCAATCAGCGGCTGTATGTACCCATCAAGTCGATGAACATTGCCACTGCTGACCTCCACAGACTGTGGCACGACTCCCAACCACTGCTATTCCCCTGGATGCAATTACAAGTATGGCCCTGCCTGTCCGGAGAACCAACATCCTGAGGGAACGAACACATCGTCGATTCCACGCCCGAAACTCGGATCGGTTCCTTACGGAGGAACTGGCGTGTTCAAATGCAAGAATCCTGGTACTGTTGCACTCACCTATGACGACGGCCCACACAAGGACTTCACAGACCGCATCCTTGACCTGTTCAAGAGCTATAATGCGAAGGCCACATTCTTCATTACCGGCAACAACATCAACAAGGGTCAGATTGACAAGACTCAAGAACACATTAACGCGATCAAGCGTATGAACACAGAAGGGCATCAGATTGCTTCCCATACCTGGACGCATCTGAACTTGACAAAGATCTCGTCGGAGGATCGCAAAAACCAGATCTGGAATGTTGAGATGGCACTCAACAACATCGTTGGGAAGATTCCGACCTACTTGCGTCCACCTTACTCCAGCTGCGACGCAGCCTGTCAACAAGATATGAGCGACCTAGGATACCACCTCATCTACTTCGATGTCGATACCGATGATTACGAGCAGATCAACGCAAGCCGCATCCAGAACTCGAAGGACTGGTTTAAGGGGAACATCACCAAGGGCGGCGCTACACCTGAGAAGAACGACTGGCTTACAATCTCCCACGACATCATTGAGCAAACTGCCAACAATCTCACTGAGTACATGCTCTCGACCCTTACGCAGCTTGGTTACAAGGCGGTTACTGTGGGTGAGTGTCTTGGAGACCCAGAGGACAACTGGTACCGCCAATTCGGTGATTCTGCCGATCGCACAGGCAACTCTTCGACATCGGTAAGTGCAACTTCCACTTCTTCACAGGTACTGATCACACACCACTTTCGTCCCATATAGTACTGACTATTGTGCAGACCAGTTCATCGTCCGGCAGCAGCGGAACGTCCAGCGCAACCTCGTCTCCGACCTCACCCCAGGGTTCTAGGAGTACCTCTGGCGGCGCCGCGCCCGAACAAACTACGAGCTCAGCGACCAGCGCTCTGCAGAACACAGGCCGATTAGCTTACGCTGTCTCAGCACTTCTACTTTCAGTTCCCATTGCACTTGCATTGTAGACATAGCCGCGCTTGTATCCGTTTTCATTTCATGTAGATATATCAATGCAAGAAATCCTCAATGTAGATAGTTGTTTGTGTAAAGCTTTAGTACTCAACGCAAGACTCAAGCAAACCTAGTATGAACAAATTCAAGTGTCTGCATCCTAGATGAAGCATATGACTGATAAATATCAAAAAATTGAATAGATAACGTGGTTCACCACCGAGCAGCCCACCCCCACGAGTGTGATGGATTGGGCCCTCGAGAGCTTGGTAGAGTCTTGACATGGATAAGATCCATCTATGTCTTTCTTGTTTAACGTATGAGCAAGCAAGACACACTGAAAACTCGTCGGTATTTCCCCATAGCTCCTCATCAATTCAATCACTGTTCTCAGGTACCCGCATACTTTGCGCAAACCCTTACAGTACTTTTCCTTTGTCTTCCTTACCAGCGCAAACCAGGGCATTATAATGCGTGCATCTTTGTTTAGGGCTTGATGACAATTGTATGGAAGGCTGCATTGAAGCTTGATCTTGATTGATTGATTGATTGATTGATTGATTGGTTTAACGTCCTATCTGAGTCTAAGACTATGGAAGACGTCCGTCACGCTGTTGTTTTAGCATTGTTGGGGAACAGTAAACCCCTTGCTTGCGCGTCTTGTACTATTAGGCGCAGTAGCTTGTGAAGCCTTGATAGCCAGGTATAGTGTACTTTCATTTTAGGTCTTCTGCGCATTGCGAAGTGGTGGCATTGATGTCAGACCTTGGATCATCACCGTCTAAGCGACCCCTCCCTGCGTGCCACTGGAGCACTCTACGCCTTGAGTTGACTGTGCCTGATCGTCCGCGATTGTAGCCGTAGCCACATGTATGCATTGAAAGTTAGCACGCTGCTCTCAAAGATAGGTTGGAGTGCGCCAAGATCGTCCTCATTAGTCATTGACGATCCAGTCAAAAAAATGATCCAGGTCTTCTCGTGTGCTCGAGGACTCACATTCGCATTATCAATAAGTGTATACACTATCTACGGTTGTACAAGAATTGAAGCTTCGTCACTCTCCCCCAAACAACTTATATGCTTACAAGCATTGAGAGTACCAATCGTTCTGGACCTTGCACTCGCCAGCAGCGCAGGCGGTAGGGCCGGTGTAGCCCTTACCTCCGCACTGTCCCCAGCGTGCAACGCTGCCGCTCGATGAGTCCTCAGTGGGAGTGGAGTCCTCGGCAGTCTTGGTGAGAGTAAGGAGAGTGGAGGGGTCAGGGGCAGCGGTGGTGACGGGGGCTTCCTCCTCGGGGGCGGATTCAGACTCGGTAGGTGTAGGGGTGGTGGTCTCCTCAGGAGCCTCCTCGGTCTCGGTAGGAGCGGTAGTAGCGGAAGGAGTCTCCTCCTCAGCGGTCTCGACGGGGGTAGCGGTAGCAGAGACGGTGGTCTCGGAGGCAGTCTCAGAGGGAACCTCGGTCTCAGGGAGCTCGTCACCGGCACCGCAAGCAGGCAGAGTCTCAAGCAGACCCTGAGCACCCTTGCAGCTAGTCTTGGTGTCAACCTTGGAGCTGGAGCCGCTGCCCTTGTTGACACCCTTGTACTCTTGGCAGACGTTTTTGGTCTCACCGCAAGAGCCGCTGATGGTAGCCTCGTCGCCGAAGTTGGAGTTGATGCCAATGAGGTCGGAGGTCATGCCGTAGGCGCGGATGTTCTCGACAATAACCTTGCGGGGTGACTTGGACTCGTTGTTGGTGCAATCACCACAGCTGCGGTACAGCTTTCCGGCGTTGACGACGGTGAAGTCTTTGATGGTGACGGTTCCGGCACCATTGTGCTGGACGACTTTGTCCTTGGCCTCCTGGGCTCCGCCACCGATGATGGTGGCGTCACCGGTGCCGAGTACGGAAATGGCGTCTTCGCAAACGTCGCGGAACCAGACGTTGGTCAATGTGCAGGCACCTATAAGATTGTTAGAGCCGGGCACCAGAGGCCTGGTGGGATTGTTGACTTACCAAGGCAGTGAACACCCTCAAGAGAATCAGCACCAATGATGACGTTGGAGAGGCTGGCACCATCCTCGAGCACGAAAACGGCGTTGTCACTGCCAGTGTCCTCGTCAGAGTCGCATGGGTGGCCACGATCGAACTCCTTGTTGCCAAAGTCCTCGCTTCCAGTGATAACGCTGGGCTCAGGAAGCGAAGTGATCTCGCCGACACGGGTCGGGATGTTGAGAGTCTGCGCAGAGGCCAGGCTGGCAACGAAGGCCGCAAGCTGAACTTGGGAGAACTTCATGTTTGCTGTAGAGTCGATTCGAAGGGTATAAAGATGAAGAGTAAGAAGAATGGCTGTTCAATGAAGGAATGACAACTAGATCTCCTGGATCGTGGTGAAGTGAACGGCTGAAGCTGGGAAGGAGCGGAAGAACTTTGAAGGAATGACCTACATCCTTATATGCACCTGTCTTCCCACAATGAATATGACATCCTCTGCAGACCGTGCCGCCCGATTGCATGCGAAAAGAGAGCGCAAAATTGCACGAGGATCATGACAAGACTCAAGCGAGTACCTGCATATGCGCAGAGGGAATGGCTAGCCAAGAAATACGATCAGAGATCTGCTCCACTGTTCCAGAAACTGACATGCCAAGATGTTAAGCTGCGTTTCCACCGTTGAGCGGAGCGTTCGCAGCAGGGTTTTCTCCGTTATCGAGGCTGTGTGCAGAGTGGTCCTGGCGGGATGTCTTGCTTGGCAATGTTTGCCTGCGAACTTGGCGTTTCAGATAGCTGCGTCGTGAGATCCACCAATAGTGAACAACCATAAATGACACCGTGAGGTTTCCAAAGCGACTGCAAATCGATATTCGGGAGATGTGTACCGAGCACGGTCAGAAGACGAGTCGTTCCATGGCCCTGATCAGTTGCATGAATCTGGACGTATACGCCAGACGAAGCAAACTCGCCCCTACTCCGGTCTGCAGAATGGGTCCATGCAGGATCCAGGACCGGAGCAATCCTTCTCGGTGTATCTTCATCGAGATATTGGTGCCGATAGAACTCTTCGCCGCGAAATTCACCAGCGCTTACGACTTGCGCTGATGAGAGGGGCTATCGAAAGCATTGCTGGGCATGTTTCAGTACAAAATTGAATGTGCTTACCCTTCGTGAGATCAAGTGATCGTGCAGACAGGCAAGAATAAATGGTATGAAGGGACCGGCGCGCAACTCATGTTGTTCTCGCAAAGCACGAGCAACATTGTGAACATTGACTCGCAGCTCAGGGACAGACCGAATCACCAGCAGATGTGCCAAGCTTTGTCGCTCTCCTTGTCTCGACGCAAATTATTGTGGAGCTCATTTTTCGATCAAGACTGTTCCGACAAGGTGTCTGCCCTGGTTGTGATAATGATGCAGAGGGAAGGATGCTTATAGGTTGTGATGCGAACGATCGATGTGATGCGGGATGAGGCTGCGGAGTGGTAACTTTTCAACGGGAATCAACGCGAACCAGCACCAGGCGGCGACTAGTCCCGTCGTTTTTAGATGCGAAAAGACATGCGCGCAAGTTCGAGAAGGAAGTATCGTGAGTGTTGGTAAACGGGGAGGTGTGGCTTCAAGGAGGGGCTGGTGAGTGGCGGTTATATATGTGGGGGTAGCACTAGCGCGAGCTGAAACAACGCAGCTGCCGTCATTCCGTGAACGGCTGCCTCTTTCAACGCATCTGACTATGTCTACTATTGCGCGGGCACGCGCGATCTTCATCGCTGTTGAGGCTGCGGTGCCTTACGATTGACTGCAATGTAGGGATCAATCTCATCATCATGAACCTCAACCTGATTACTGCGACGGATCTGTTCTGATCATTCTGTTTGCGGAGTATGTGCACCGAAGTCGAGCACCACGTTCACGAATTTGAACCATGTCCCAAGTTGCCGTGTTGTGTATCGAAGACCAGCAGACGGTGGAAGTGTAAGCCTATGCCTTCTCCACAGACTCAGTCTTCGTTGCCAGCACCTCGGAGTTCGAATGGTAGTCACCCTCGGGAAGCTTGTCAAGAGCATCGTTCTCCCTGTCTAGAGCCCTGAAAGTCCACCAAAACGCAATCCATCCAAAGAAGGTCAAAATGGCAATCGTAACATACAGCCACACCAACAAAGGGTCTGTAGCCAGTGGAACGAAAGCCTGAGCAATCGCAGAAGAAAAAGCGTGCGTAAACCAGAACACACCGGTGACCAACGATCGCATGTTCTTTGGCGCCTTGGTGTAGGCGTACTCAAGACCAGTGATCGATGCGAAGATTTCCGAGAAGGCGATGAGCACGTATGCGGGTGTCTGCACCCACACAGTAAAGTCTGGTGGGCCGAGCTCGTCGCAGTCGCTTGCGTACTTGCCGCAAGGCGACTTCTCATAGATGAAGTGCTGGATGAGCGCCGCTACGACCATGCTAAGCATTGCACAAGCGAAGCCAGCCTGGATCTTCTTTAGAGGGGTAAAGTTGATGCCCATTCGCGCAAGCTGCGGATAGAAAAGTTTATCGAAGATAGGAATGAATCTGGAGGTTGGTTGGTTAGCTCTGTTGTGTCTGTCGAAAAGCTGTAACATGGACTTACATGATGAGTGTGAACGGGTTCAGGTTGTTAATGACGTCATTTGGAACACCGTTCAGCTTCATAGTAGCTGCCTGTGAGACCAAGTTGGTCGACATCTGCGCATCTGAATCAGCTGTAAGTTGCTCAGTCATGAAGACCGCAGCTTACCTGACCATAAGGAAGCCAGAAGATCGGCAACCACAGGAACACCTGACATGCTTTGATACCACGTCGCACTTCGTCGACCCAAGCGTCGTCAAACGTCATCCAGTTGGGCTTGGTAGCAAGGTTGCTAGGCTTAGCGCCATCCCACAAGTTGGGTGCAGATAAGTTCCTCCAGGTGCCGACAGGGTTCAGCGACCACCTTCCACGCATTGCAAAGCCATACAATTTAGCCGCCTTAACTAGCACGTCTCCCTGTGGAGGCTTCTTGACATAGTGCTTACTCAAGCCTACCATCAGAAGAGGGCAGAAGATGAACAGGATAGTGGGCAGGAGGTAAGACAACCAGAATCCAACATACTTCTCGGCGTAGACCATGGAGATCTGGCCAATGAGAGCGCCGATATTGATGAGCAGATAGTATCGCATGTACACACGCGAGATGGTGATGCCAGGGTCGACAATCACCCGTTCGCCGCTCTGTTCAGTACGAAGGTAAGCCCTTGGGTGACTGTGTTCATACTGCTCAGCCACGAGGGGAGAGATGCAGCACTTGAAGAAGCCGACTCCACTCCCGAGAAGGATCAGGCCCAAAATGAACGCGGCCAGTGCTCCGTTGGGAGTCGCGATGACTCGTGGAATGGCAGCAATGATGATCAAGACGTGGCCGGCTGTAGCTAGCACAATGGCGACGTAGATGGTCTTGAACTTTCCCCAATACTCGTCAGCAAGCCAGCCCCCTGAATATATCAGTCGTTTCTTTACTGATAGAAAGCAGTCCCACTTACCAACCATAGGCATAACGTATGAGAAGAACTGGTTGAACTGAACGAGTCCAGTGGAAGCCTGCTGGCCCATGCCAAGGGCACCAGCTTGACCATCTGTGCCAGCAGCACCCGCTGACGGGAAAGGCCCTTCAGTAGGAAGGTCCTGCTGAATGAAGTTGACGACTGGTGCAGTCAGCATTTTTTTTGCATCTCTTCAAGATGTTCAATAGTATACATACAGACAGCTGTAGTTCCATAGTAAGCGAATCTCTCGCACATCTCGACTATGCCGATGACATAGATCATCCAGTCGACTTTGCCATAGACACGTCGTAGGGTGGCCCAATCTTCGTCAGCGGGGTATTGCTCGCCATTGGGACCCACCAGCTCCTCGGATGTCGAAGTCTGAGGCTCTTGCTTCTCAATGATGGACTCGTCTTTCATGCCCTTTGCTACAACTGGGTAGTCCGCAGCCGCTGCGTCTACAATGTCGGGAGCTGCGCCCGAGGACATCGTGAATTCTGGGATGATCGGTTAGCGTGCGAAACACTCGATCACAGGCAGAGATGGGGGTTATATCCATGGCTATTTCCCATGCAGTTTCCAGCTGCCTCATGCAGCAAAGGAGTGATACGAGTACGATCAGAAGGCCGCTTGCGGTCTCTCGGTGCCAATGAGGGGGGAATGGAAAGACGAGCCGACCCAAGGAATAAACGGCTTCTATGCGCGACCACAGTAAGTCTGGTCATACAGACACAGGATTGGCGCCGAGCGATACCAAACAGTTCACTTTACTGATAGTTGCATTGCCAAGTACGCCGTGGTAGGTCAAGCAGAGAGCAGATAACACGTTCAATCATCACCAGCTGAGGTCGATTGTAGCACAAGGCGTTCACTTGTTTCCGGTCGGTCGGTGCAAGGCTATGAATAGCGTTAATCCTTCCTTGGTTGTTATGTGACAATGTCTTGTCTTGTGAAAGTTGGACATCTTCCTCATCAAGCATACTGAAGGTGTTGACAAGACGACAAGACGGAGGCAGGGCACCGCTCGATGTTCCTCGCCATACAGTGTCTGTGCGCGTGATGCGCACCTTTGCGTGATGCGCACCCCACCCACTTTCTCATACAAACTGCATCAGCTCTATCTCAATACCACAATGTCCATTAAAAGTGCGCTTGATGAGATCAATAAATTGCCATCCGGCGCTTCATTTTCATACCGTGCACTTACAAAAAAACACGGTTGTTGGCGCTCAACTTTGACACGTCAACACAAGCATCAAGTTGTGTCGCATGAACAGAAGTCAGTCAACCAGCGACTCCTCCACCCACGCGATGAAGAAGAACTCGTACTATACATTTGTAGCCTTACTGAACGATTCCTTATGCCTACAAGGCAAATGATACAAAATTTTGCGACTCCTCTTGCTGGAAGAGAGCCCTCATGTCACGGTATCCTCTCCAGATCCCCTGACAATATCCGGATCCGCTCCATACTGTCCCTGACCGTACGCACCAAATCCCCAGCGTCCTTACACGCCTCCGAAGCGGACGTACAACCTCTGGTCACCTCTGGAGCAGGCCTGCAACCTCCGAAGCGGGAGTATCAGAATTCTGCAAGCCCTGCTCTGGGACTTGCAACCCCGATACCTATCCAACTCAGTTCCGATTATTAACAGGTAACCGAACAAACCCACACGTAAGTATATAGACTATTGCTGGTAGAGTTCTGTTCGGTACACAACGTCTTGTACCTACTTAGATACTGTACGTAGTAATTGATTTAGACTCCTAG